TAAAAAATGTCAGGTACCCTGGTGCCCTAGTGTAAGTACCACCCAACACCCCCGGTTGACGCGCCACTACTGAGATCAACATTTTCGGATGAAAACTAACTGATATATGTATAAGCTACAGTTATACGTAAAACATGGTATATCAAATTAAAATTATATTTTACAATTATTATAATGCGTTTCTCTTGGCCTTCTATATAGTGCTCGCCACAATAATAACTACGAAATAAACTTTACAAATGTTAAATTAAATCGATGCAATTTGCGTCGACCATTCCAAGTTTCTATAACACTACAGTGAATGTGAATGCCAAATGAATATATAAAATATGATAGTTAGTTCCGACTATGGTTAACTTAAGTTTAAACGTAAATTACAGTTGAACTTTTGAAGATTTCAAATCGTTTCAAACGCGAATCCACCAATGACAGGAGACCTGCAGCGTACGACGCGCGTGCAGCACAAGGGTGGTTCGTTCGGTGGGTGTGCCTATTGATTTTTCGTGTAACCGCCGAGTCTCGTATCACAGACTCACAAAAGAATTATAAACATCAGCTACGAGGCATCACATTTTACGTATAACTGCAAAAATATTYAATACCTACCTACAATAATAATATATAACTACTACAAATATGATAATATCGTCAATATATTTCGGTTTAAAACGATCCATCCGTGACATATATTTTGTTCATCGGYTGAACGGCTGTTATTAGWCGTAAGGACTAGGTTTAGGGCTGAGGACTAGCCTTAGTGTTAGCCTCAGTCGTGCCGACTATATAATCGGTTAGCACGGCGTGAGTGTTGTATGCACCACGAGAAGATGAACGAACTGCAATACGTATTGGCTATTAATAACTACGGGAAGATTTACACACTGTCTGCGTTCGATGACCAATGGAAACCATTTACCCACGCCGGCATGGACTTGAAACACATTTCCGCCATCGAGAACTACATGTGGTCCATCGGAGGCGACAACCAAACGTATCTGTTGGTGCACAACCTGGACGGAGCGATACGCATCAAGGAAGAAGTATATGAAAACGAGGTAGGTAAGCGGCGGCGGTTTTGATGTTTGGCCTATGACAGTAAATAGTATTATAGTGCAAACTTATCCTATGAGTTTATTATATATTACTATACATGTATGTATAATATATTATTAATAAATAATATGATCCAATCACGGATAAAAGATTCACAATAACTGAATAACCTAATATATTTATTTGATAAATGTATTGCAACATGTGTTATATTAGGTACCTACTATTGCGACTTCAAATTATGAAGAAAAAAAGTTTTAGATATAAGTGTAGGTACCACTACAAATATTACCTACATACAATATTACTTATTAGTGGATTATATTTAGATATTTCATGAGCCGCCTGATGCAAAAATGGGGGTGGTGATCCCAATATGACTCCAATTCCCAGGACCTATATACGACTTGACTATAGTTTATACTCACAGAGTAATAACATATACTACTTGCGTTTAAAATGTGAAAATTCGATGGGTGGGAACCGTTTGAAGGTACATAGTTGCTTCATAGRAAAAAAGGTGTTCATGTCACTTGTGGAACATATATTTTTAAAATATTATTGTTTCATCGATTATAAATACGATTATTTTCCTACCAYAAATGTTTATGTAGGATACGTGAATAATATGTTGTATGTTGTCGATAGCGATGGATGCCCGTCGGAAGTTTTTCAAAAAGACTTTTGCCCACCGACAGGTATTGTTGGTCATCGGAAAACGGTAAAGAAGAAAAGTTAAAAGAGAATATAAAGTTGCCATCTTTCGTCTGGCAATGGGAACATGAATGGAAGTTGGAGACTACGTTCGAAGAAAACGATTTAGACAACGTGAGATATAAAATTATAATATACGTTGTAAAAAATTATATGTAATATAGATATACCTACTGGTTGTCAGGGATGGACATACGCAGTCGATTTTTGCGCAAAATTTTATCCAATCAAACGCTGGAATTCATGCGTTAGGAGGAGGAAATGGTACAGAAATCGAATATACACAGGCATGAATTCTTGGTGTATAATTTCTCCTCTGCACAAAGATTTTACTCAGGTTTTATTTTTTTTCCGTGAAATTCACCGCGAATAGACTGACAGATGAGAATATATATTATAATAATYTTCATTTAACCACTGTGCAGGAACCATTCATTTGCGTGAGCATTGGAGGACATAAGATACCCAAAGCCCAACTTGGTGTCATCATGGTATGGGCTGTGACAGCGCAAGGAAGGGTAAATAGACCATTTATATAATTTTCAATAGGTTCTGGAATTCGTATACAAATACTTAAACATACAATTTTTGTTCTAAAAGATCTTGAATTACAGATTTTCTACCGTAAAAACGTGAACAAAACGTGGCCCGAAGGCTGTTTGTGGGTCTGCGTTCCGACAAAAGAGGGCAGTGAATCCAGATACATTGATTGTGGTCCGTCGGGTTCTGTTTGGGTAGTTTTATGGAGCGGTCTCATACTAGTTAGAAAGGAAGTCAGTGCCGAAACTCCACAAGGTAAGTAAAATATACTTACTGTCTAATTGCTAACATAAACTTATAGAATGAGGATAAATTTATTGCTTTCTRTTTAATTATTTTCACTAATAATGTTGTATTAAACATTGTTAAGGTAAAAAATGGATTATTATTGAATCTCCAGAAGCAGATTCTAAAATAACTCAAATATCAGTTGGATTTCAATCTGTGTGGGCAATTACTAATGATTCTAGAGTATGGTATAGAAAAGGAATCGATCAAAATCTCAGTGAAGGAACTTGTTGGGTGAAATTAAACACTTTTATGTTTTCTGTATCCGTAACTCCGAACGATCAAGTAAATTCTACCAAACTATATTCAAAATTCTTCAATAAATAATGTTTTTTATTATTAGGTATTTTCAGTGGGTTTAGATAGGCATTTATATTTTAGGAGTGATATATCTAAAAGTTATCCTACTGGGAAAAAGTGGATTCATATTCAGGCATCCATCGAAACCATACAACMTAAAAAACTAGAGGTATTATTCTAACTTATTTCATASAATGATATACACAGATTTAAACTCAATGGAAAATGGGAGGGGTTGTATGTATACATTTATATTATACATAATTAAATTTTTTTTTTTTAAAGAAAAAATTGGAAGGGATAGAGTCATGGATATCATCATCATTTACTGAACCTTCACATTCTGCTCCAACATGTATGGTTGGAAATGATTCAAAAAATAATTTAAACTTGAAGTATACCTTCGACCATACATATATTACTACTTATCAGAAAAATAATTTTAATTTTAATCGTTTATTTTTAGCGCAAAAGAGATCAATCCTTCTCAGCGCAGAGTGTCTGCTTGGAGTCCTAAACTTAGCATTGGGTCTTTAATTGGTATGGAAGCTAAACCAGATTCATTTATGGAAATTCAAAGTAATATTTCAATTCAAAAACCAAAAACATTTTGGAGTTCTGTTGTAGGAGGTTCAATTGAACCAGATGTTTGTTTTATATCACAATGGTAATTATGCAAATTTACTTATAATCAATGTTTTACACAACATGAAATCAAATATGTGTCATTAATTGTATGAAATATAATTTTATTTAATATTTTATTTTTTAGGTTTAAATCTCCAAATGATAGAGAAAATATTTTTAAAAGCAAATGGAGGCAAGAAATATTGGACAAATTAATCATATTAAGATTAAAAGAAAAAGAATTTCAACAAATTGCCTCTTTTGCTTTATAACTATGACCATACAACTATACAAGTGACTCAATTTAATTTTTTGTTCATGAATATTTTTTAATCAAAGATTTATAGAAAAATTAAATTAAATCAGACTTGTACTAAAATTATTTTGTCAGGCCTCTGTAAGCAAATATATATAATTGGAGGTTAGAAGTCATCTATGAAATAACAACCATTTCAAACTTTCAATTTTAAACATAAGATCACAGAAAAAAATAAGGATAATGTATGCTTGTCAGCGTTTTGATATTAAGCCAACATTGATAACATTGTGTCATTGTATGCAAATAATTCATCAAAAAATGAGTTCACATTGTATTTCAATTTTATACACATATTAATTGTATACTTATGTATACTTAATTTTATATGTATTTTAATATAATTATTGTAACATATATTTAATAATTGTATAAATAAAAAAACAATATTTTAATTATAATGTTCACAAAGATAATCAGTATTATGCAGTTCTTACATTCAAACTCTTGATAGTCTTCAAATATAGGGCTTTAATAATCAAATTAAATTCTAGTTAGTTTACACTTGACAATCAGACTTATTATAACTATCAAAATATAATATTAGAACATTTAGAACGCCACACCTACATATGTTGTCTCCGACTTAGAAACCAACAAAATAAAAAATTTGCATTTGCAGAATAAGTTTTCTAAGAGTTTCTAATTTAAGAGTAAGAAAATTATCTAGGACATCTTCTAAGTTTTTAATGATTATACATTTTTAAACAAGAAGTATCAATTTAAAAATTGGTACTCATAATTTGCATCAAAATTAAAATATTAAATAAAACTTACACATAATAGATGCTCAAGATAATATTCTTAACTTTAAATTTGATTATAAGTAAATTGAGTCAAATATTAAACCTAGTAAGTACAAAACTGATTATGCCTGAACACAAATTGTATGTGTAAAAAACGGAGACAAAACATGTAGGTGTGACATCCTATTAAGTATTATATCCTAATATTATTACTATAGAGTTAACTGTTGAGATTATTGTCACGGTAACTAATATTTATTAGTTATTAATAATTATTTTTCCGTAGATGTGAAATTATTATTGCATTTTCTTAGGTTAACTATTACAGATATATTTTAGAATTTGTAAAAACATTAATTCCTTACTTGCTCAACTTAAAATTTCAAATAAATTATAGATCCCTATTATAATATATATGTAAAAGAAAATTATTATTTAACTTGCAGATTTTATATTAATTATATTCAATTCAATTTTATGGTACCTATGTTGATAAAGGCTAGTCAAATAATCAAGTGAACTTAAGACAATTGTCTAATTTTTTTTACTCAAGTGCTATTATAGTAATATACTAACATAGTAATCAGTTATTTTTCCTCTTAACAGTTTAATATAAATAAGATAATACTTGATTCATGTAGTATTTTGTAATTCTGTTGTAGTGGTATATTAGTGATTATTTTCTATTCAAGTTATATAATCAAATTGAAATAATCTACATCTGACAATGATTGATTATGTAATAAATACACTACTTGAATATTATTATAATTATCTTATGACTTATACCGACATTTTGTTAATTCAAGACAAATATAAACATGCATACAATTCCAAAATTTTTTTAACTAGCTAATTAAAAACAAAAAAGCAGTAAGTGGGTTATGCTTAGATATTCATTASATCACAAATCACAATATGAATTGATTAAATTTGAACTCAATGATATAAGATCATTGTATACGAAATATAATTCTGAGTAAAGATGGCAAGACGGTCAATTTATAATCTAACTAAGTATATCTATGACATAATATTGTGATTGAAGTAATTTATTTAACTATAAAGCATTAGGTAGTACTACAGTAAGTTTAATTCAATTAAAAAAATGTATTTTAAAATGTCATGGTGTTTATAAAATATAATAGCAAAGGTTATTACCTACTCTAAAAGTTTCAAATACCCATGACTAGTATTTTTTTTTAAACAAAATAACTAGAATAGTTAGTTACAGAATGAAATGAGTGGAACTTTATTTTAAATTTTCAATCCTTAACTATAAAAATTAAACATAATATAAATTTTTGGCTATAAAATAATTTATACATTTTGTCAACTTTGAACTTTAAATACTTATAAAAAAATCTTTCCCTTATCTTTTTTTTATTTTAAAACTAATAAGATCATAAAAATTATAAAGAAAAAATTTAAAAAAAAATCGAAAATGTCAGTAAACTTAAAACATTCAACGGCTCATATAAATTTAGTTTGACTTCCGGGTAAACAATTTTTCTTTGATAAATGTAGATAAACTGATGAAGGAACTTTGTATTAAATTTTCAAGTTTTTTGACTTAAACAAATTTACCTACAACAATTTAAAAAAAAAACTAATAAGTAATCAAAAACTTCATATGCCCATGCCTTAAAAATTGTCATTTATAAAAAATGTTTGGCAAAAATATCATATATCTACGTCAAAWTTGATTTTTTCAAAATCTGATTATACAAAAAACACAAGTTCTTTAATTTTTTGTTTGTATTTTTTTTCAAGCTTTATATTTTTAACCTTCCCYCCTTTACTCTTCAAAGCACCCACTAGATTAACTTTCTTACCAGAAAAAATGCTGATATAGATAATTGAAACATTTTTAATGCCTCAATAGATGATGAAAAATACAAAAAAAAAAACACTTAAATTAAATCAACGCATACATCAGCCATTACTCAGAATCTAAAATTATTTGAATTGATTTTTAATTCCTCAGAAAATTTTTGTAATTACATTGTGTTAYTATTCTGATGTTATTTTACCACTTCAACTGGAACTAATATTTAAAAAAATGTAGTGGTATCAATTGTTTTCATATTATATTATTTTAATTGTACATGCATCCAAATTTATTAAAGTGTGTGACAGTTGACAACATTTTAATATGAAACACAGACTAATTGATGAATTAATTATATTTTGCACTGTAGTTTATCATAATTTAGAGTAGATGGTAATATGTTGTTAACTATAGGCATAATTTTATTTGTAAATAGCATAAAAYATAAAAATGTGTGGTAGATATCACAAGAGACAAGTACCAAAAATTAATTTATCCTAGGTAATCGAGCCCTAACTATGTGACTGATCAATAAAAAACTTTTATCAAATGGAGAAAATAGCACAAAAATATGTTAAACATCACATCATATTATGCTACATTAATTTTTATATTACTAAAAATCCTTTTTAATATTAATTAAGTAACTGTCACCAAATTTAATGCACTATTATTTAATATACATTTAAAAAATACTAATGACCTATAGGCAGCATCCTGTTGAGCTTTTTCATAGCCAATAGTGGATTCACCATGAAAAGCCACAGTAATGGGAGTAGAAACTTGAAGAGAAGTTTGATATTTTCCAGAGCTTGAAAGTTCTTCAAAATCAATAAATGATACTTTAAGTCCTTGCTCAGCAGTAAAATTGTCTAAAATCAATCTGCTGTTACAAGAATATAATTGTTCATCATTCATTTGTTTTAGATTATTATAACAGGGACCATCACTTAACGGTAAATGCCTATGAATTTCAGGTAACCTATAAAATTGAGAAGTAGATTTAGAATTTTTCAGKCCGCTTAGATTGCTGGACTCTTGACGAACAAAATCATCTACGTTTTCAGCTGCACCAGAGTTTAGACTGAGATCTGCCTGAATGCTAATGACAAGAAATAAAATATAAATTATAAACTATTAATACAACTATTGAGTAATATGCATTATGCAATATAACTACCTTTTTAACATCAAATAAAGATTATTAGCAGCAAGTCGTTTGGCAATTTTTTTAGATTTGCCTACACCAGTTTCCTTGTATTCCGAGACATTACACGAAACAGTAAATAAACGCTGATGTGGAAGACCATCTTCACATTCTGTTATGTAAACTGGAGGAGGAAGATGGAGAGATGTACAAAGTTCCTGAAGCATACCAATTGGATTACGTTCATCATTATCTCCAAAATTCATTGTTTCAAACGTTTCATTCATGTCTGAGGTAAGATCAATTTGAGACTCAAATAAAGAATCAGAACATAATTCAGGAAACTCTTTATGAATAATACGTAGTAAAGCCTTAGCTGCATTTTGTTTAGCTTCTTTTTTTGATTTTCCTAAACAACATTATTGACACATGAAAAATAAATTAAAGACTCTATATTGTTATATTTACCTTGACCATAAGCAACAAATCTTCCATCYGTGACACGATACTGAAATGAGGGCGCACTAACAGCTCCTTCAATTTGTAGCAATTCATACTGAACAGTGCGTACTCCTTGTTTATTTAATATGTCTTGCAATAAAGTAACTGATGTTTTATCAGTATCAAATTTTACATTATATGCAGGACAGTCCATTTAATAATTACTAATATTTTTATAAGTACTTTTTCTATAAATTAATAGGTAAATAGGTAACCACAGTATGAGGTGTTTGTAAAATGGCAATCCAAGTGAATTTTTTTCTAATTTTGATTTTTTACTTAATGATTTAAACTTTTAGAACACCACAATTATAAGCAATTTAATGTTGAATTATTAATTAAAAATTTATATTCATAAAATTAAGATCATCTTCAACCAATTATGAAAAATAAGTTAGTGTTTTTATTACCTTTTATAATGAAGGAAAAATGAAATTATCTTCTAATTTATTTTTAGAATGTCCACAAAATGTTTAAATAGCTCATAATGATGATTAACTGCATACTATCCAATTCTGTATTACACATAATACATATTACATATTAATTATATGTCTATATAGGTACACCACTTAAAGGGTATATTTACAGTAAGTTGTGTATTTAATGGGTTATGATGTGCTCATAATCACAAAGTAAAACAGAAAACTATTTATTTTTTAAACCATTTACTTTTTTAATAGGTAGTTAATATTAGGATATTAATTGTCTTGTTAAACTCACCTCAACCAAAAACAATATAAATTATTGTATGGTTGACACTAAATAATAAAAATATACCTATTCAGATTTAGGTATTAGAATTAATTTAATTGTATTTTCAGAGTACATTAATTTTAATATAAATTAGAATATTTTAAAGTTTAATATAATACGATATCAAATTAGTTTTAATGAATATCAAACAATCATAAATATTAAATAGCAGAAGTTATCACTTACAAGTACAAAAATGAGAAACCTGATGAACCTATTAACCTAAGGTAGTTAAAATCAGTTACGACTTTTACGCGTTGTAAAGATCATGAAGAATATGTTAAGACTTAAGACTAATACCACTAGTCTAGGCTTCACAATTTCACATACCCAGTGTTAATATTATAAATATTGTAATTAATATTATACTCATAGACCTTATATATAAGGTCTATGATTATACTATTACTCTACTACATGAAGTTAGCTGCAAGTTTGAAATGGTCCAATCATTGATAAGGAAATTTTCATATTATTATTAAAGTCCGCGATATGTAAAATAAGTTGTCTGTGATATGCCCCTCATTCAAATTATAACCACTCATAAAACTCTGTTATAACTTATAACTATATTAAATAAAATATAATATATAATTATATAAACTTTATAAAGTCTTGTTTTTAATTACATCATTTTAATCTGAATTTCGTATAACTTCAAACATTTTAGTTTTGTCGAAATTCTTAAACATAAGCACAAATATCATTCAATCATAGAAATCGGTATTTTTTTGAACAAAAATAATCGTAATTTATATGGCCTCGATACCTCAATAAAAGAAACTAAAAACCTAACCAAATGTATATTTTGTAGCTTATAATATACTCAAAATATTGATTTTGACGAAAATCACAAAAACCGTTTTTAAAGATACCAGTAAAGTTTAAAGAACCAAAACCAGGTTAAAAATAGATCAGTTTATTGCGGTGGCCTTTCTAGTTTGAAATATTTTACAAACCGAGATAGTGCACCGGTGATTTGCCAGTGAACTGAACTCCAAATTATGTACACTAAAACCATAATGAAACAGAAAATAGATAGTGCTCATATTCCGTAAGTAAAATAGTTTATAAGTTTATCAGATTATTACTTTTTTGTGGTATTTTAGTACTTCGTTATAATATCCAAAAATATTATGTTGGTTGCATGTAGCAAAGCAAGTATAGATATAAAAGTACCAAATCGAAAAGTTGGCGGTGATGTAGGTACTCATAAACTTATAAACTAATTAATAAACATGTGATAGTCGCTGAGTAGCAAATCGTTGCCTACTATAGAACTAGGTAATTGGTATGTATTTAAATATTAGGTATTAAATTTCCCGCATTTGCGTCAAGTAAAACTAAATAAATACTTATAGTTTTWAAAAAAAATCGAAATTATCCATCGTTTAGGTTTTAAATAATCCATGACAAATAACAATAGCCTGAGACGAACAGCGATTCCAAATATTGTACTATTGTACTTGTACAGTAGTATATATGTTGAATTAATTAAAAGCTATCGGCTTATTGCCTGAATAAAATTATGAAAGTTAAAATTGTATGGTAAATTTTATGTATTCACTGTATAAATTTATACTAACTCGCAGTATTCGCACTACCTTCTTGGGAAGCAGTGATTAAATTTAT